GATAGAGTTTATAGCTTCAGACCTCCTGTGCAGGTGTAAACTCTCCAGGGCTTTCCCTGGAGATGAATGCCCTACAAACCTGGAGGACCATCTTTGGTCCACTGACACTCCATTGAAGATACTCATTGTTTAAGCAGGTATGGACCAGTCAGAAGCATTCAGCCTCCAGTTGCTCATTTGGTCTGGTGTCCATTCTTCTGGTGACTTTGCAGTCAGCACTGCCAGAGAGACTAGAAAGGGACTAGGAGAAGGTCAAATGCAGGCCCCTATTACCCATCCATCTTCCAAGGTGTGTAGAATCCAATTCTCTTCCTTGTAAGTTGTGGAACATTTCTCCCATAGACAAACTCTATTCCTCTAGAAATGTGTACAATGAAAAAAAGACCTTTGAGTATTTCCCCCCTGAGGTAAGGAAAGTTCTCCAACCTTCCAAAGACTGTTTTTCAAATAGGAAACTTTTCTTTTTATGAACTCCACAACAGAGAACTGATTGATCAACTTGGTTATATAATTTTCTCAAACTCTTCATCTTCTGTGATGGTTCCCATGACTACTTTCCCTGGGCCACTATATTTCACAACTGATCCTGTCATGCCAGATCCTCATGCAACCAGAAAGCAGAAGGGGTAGAGAAAGAGGGAGGACTCCACAGATTATGTTGCCAGTTCTCTTCATTTTTAGGTGAGAATTATAGCAGCTGCTTGGAATCCCACATGTCCTACCTTGGCAACAGTGACTGTGACAGGTGGAGAAACAAAATGCTAAGGTCTAGGGCGCTTGTGTCTCTAGAATATGTGAAGAAAAGAAAAAAGGAAAGAATGAATGCATGAACCATCCTTTCCCCCCTTACTAGAGACGATGACCATATGATAGACAGTCTACCATATTAAAGGCTAGTCTATGCTGTGGAGGAGCTGTAGAACTGTAGTGCTGCGCCATCTAGTGACTAGTTCTTTCTAGTCAATGGATGCAATGATGTCAGTACACTAGAACCAGTGACTGGTGTCTGTTAGGGCAGGGGAATGGGCTGAGTGTTAATATAGTTCTTGAGGAGAAACTGACTCCTTAGAAGCAGAGTGATGTACAGGATGTTTTTTGAGGGGAGACTCTGAGAAGGTAGAGGGTTTGGGTAAAGAAGTAATGAAGCAGGAGTGTGCAGAGGACAAAAACTAACTCATATTATGATTGCAAAGGAAGCCTCAGCTGGAATTGGGATGGTTGCTCAGAATTGTCCCAAGCTAAGGTGGTGAGATTAGACCATCTTATTTACATTAGTTCATCACTGGCTGTCAGCAGTCCCCAGGAAGAGGTGAAACTTTTGGCTCATGGCAAAGTGTAACAAAGGATGCTACATGAAACACTAGTTTTCTTCCCCCTGTCTTTCCTTTTGACTAACCTCTAACTCACTTAGCCACAGGGCTCACTCTCTGTCATGAGTTAACCACTGTGACAAATAGGTTCTGATTTCATTGGACAGATCATGTTCGGGATTCTTGGTAGCACTTGAAAGGGGAATCATTCTCTATAGAGGGCTGGCTCTGAAAGCCTTGCTTTGTCTGTGTCTCCTGTGCTCACACTGATATGTTAGTATTACTATCCCAATGAGAACAGAGACCAGACTCAATGGTGCCATGGGGGGGGGGAGATCAAAAGTCACATTCACAAGACAGACTTAGATATTTATGCTCCTAAGGGGTTCCTCCCAAGAAGATCCAATTAAAGTAGCAACATTTCTTCCTTCTAGCAGCATTGTGTTTGATCTTGACCAGTTATGTTGGGAGAGAGAAGGGTGAACTCAACACTACTAGCTGTCCACCAAGCTATGTTCCCTCATTCAAAATTAATAGACACTGACTGGGATGTGGGTCGCCAGATAATACCTCGTGTGCCAGCTTCCCTTACAGCCTGTTGTAGGCTAAGACTTCATAAATGGACCTGAGCAAATTAAATGTATGCAGCTTTTGCCAAGTATGCTTACAAGTAAACCTCTAGCCCTGGACTTTTATTTTCTTTCTCCTTACCAAGTAGAAATGTTTCAACCAGAATGACCCTGAGTAATACATGTTTGTTGGAGTCCTTGTCCTGGGCCACCCAACCTACTATGGTCACCACCCGTGGACCACACTCTACTGCACCTCCTAATCAAGTCTTCCTAAACTTCCTCTTCCAGAAACATCCACAAACACTTCCTTTTCCTCCTATTTTTGTATGTGGTTTACATGTTTCTACATGCAGGCACATGTGGAGGCCAAAGGACAGCTTTGGCTGCTGTCTCTCAGATGCCATCCATTTTGTTTTGTGAGATAGGATCTCTCATTGGCCTGGTAATCTCTAAAAATGCTAAATTGGATGGCCAGTGAGTCCCAGGGACCTACCTGCTTCTGCTTTCCTAGTGCTGAGCTTTCAAGTACATGTCAGCATGCCAGCCTCTTTTAAAGGCAAGCACTTTCCAACTGAACTGTCGCCTCTTTCCTCTTTTTGACCTTCACATTAATGTTTTTTGTTATTAACTTTTTTGTTTATCACTTGCTTCTATTTAGTGCTATTATGTCTTTGTTCTTTGTTTCATGTTCTTTCCCTCACCCCTGAGTTTTGAGAACCCCTGTTCAAATAGCCAAAGCCAGCTTTGAACCCACTACATAGCTGAGGATGACCCTGAACTCCTGATCTTCCTACGTCACCTCCCAAGTGCTGGGATTGCAAACATGTACCATCCTGATCCATTTCCATCTCATCTCTTATTGGAGGCCCTCTCAAGATGGAATGTTCTGTTCCTGTTTCTCAGCCAGCACAGCTGTGGTAGATGCTGATGAAGTCCTGTGTAAAATCCTTCACCTTCAGGGAGTGAAGCTATTATTGGCTTAGTGTTTCACCTTCCCCAGAGACTGGACCTCAAGCAAATGTCAGCATACCTGGGGGAGGGGTTTTAAGTACCCCTTTAACCACCAACAGGTGGTATAAAAAAGGAGAGCCACAAAAGGTGGAACCAACATGGTGGCAAACTTCAGAACCTTCCCCAGGAATCAAATGGTTACTAATTCAACCAAGAGCACATCCTGGCTAGTTCATTTCACAGTGTTCTCTTCCACAACCATGGTTGCTAGCCTTCTCCTCAGAACTGCCCCCCATTGACCAGAACCCCTTCACCTCCTCTTCTAGTCTTCCCATCTGAGCAGGGTTACTTACAATGATGGAATGTATAGTTTAGGGGTGCAAAAGTTTCCATTTCTTCAAAGAACTGTATGTTCTGCCATATAGTGTATGTCCCAGCCACATTTGGCAGTACTCTGTGCATCAGACCAAGGCTAGACACAACCTGGCACACACTTTGGCTCTTTTCCTTCCCATGTCTACTTCATTCTGTCCCTTGCACATTTTTCCTGCCAAGCATTCCTTACCACTAAACACTTGTCTTGGGTGCTCTTTCTAGTAAATTAAGCATCACTGGTGGTATCAAGCCTTTGCTCTCATTTTTCCAAATAACTTTCTCATTTAGTTCTGGGAACTTCAGCTCTGGCCTGTGCATGCCACAGGCATAACTGAATAGTTTGTTCCAAAGTCACTAGGTCAAAAATAAGTGATTTTTTTAAAAAATAATTATCTGCTATGTTATATCATCATGAGGATTTTAAAATCTGAATTAAAGATGTGTAAATTCATAGTCCAGTACCTGATGTATAGCAAATGCCCGTAGGCATTGTTTTACTTACCTATGTATGACAATTGTGCCTGTGGAATGCACACACCAAATACCTGTTGAAGAAATGAGACTGAAATTTCACTTTAAGAATCAAGACTATGTTCTGACATTTGGCCAGCAGAGGGCAAAATGTATACAGACAAAGATCTAATGGGTTGAATGATATCTTGAGATTATGAGACAGCTCCCTCACAGTTGGCCTGAGGTCCATCTGAGAGGGGGCTGACAGAAATGCCTTCATCACAGGAGACTAGTGTTAAATCTGCTGCTTAAGATTCTAGAATTTCTCCTACCAACCCTCAGTAGTAAAGCACATTGTGAACTCGAACAAGTTTCTGGCCCTGATCCCCTGCCTCAGTCTCTGCAGCGCCAGTCCGAACCTATGAGTTGTGCTACACTTTCACGATCTCCCAAGTGCTCATGTTAATACACACTGGGTGTCTGTAACTTGCAAATAAAGGAATTAGAATGAAGTCTCCTGATGAGTGTGAGCTGAGCCTTCTCCGCAGATGGGGACTCTAGAGTCACAGAGCAGCCACACAGGGGTGTAGTTTCAGTTCTACCGTTCTCTAAATCCTGCAGACCTATTTAGCTTCATTTCTCAAGAGTACTTCCATTCTTTTCCACATGCCCATGCAAAGCTATACTCCACTGCAGTGCACCATTTACTGGGTGTTTAGAATACACAGCCTCTAGAGTCCCATTGACTATAAACTCCACAATCTGCTATCTTGCCTTGACATATGTCCTTAAGGAAGTCACCTCTTTTCCCCTCAAGAAGAGATTAAAAGAAAAGAACTCAAAACAACCAGTTCAGACCCTTTTGCAGAAATCTAACATAGCTGCTTGTGGGTTGCGCTCTTTTGAGCCTTCTTCATTCAAGAAACACAAGCATTTATTTTATCGTTTTTAAAGGTGCTTTTATTTTTATTTTATGTGTATGGATGTTTGCCTGCATGTGTGTCTGTCTATTCATCACATACAAACCTAGTGCCTCAGAGGCCAGAAGAAGGCATTGGATCCCTTAGAACAGGGGTCAGCTGGTCTTAACCTCCTGAACTCAAATAATCCTCCCCACTCAGCCTCTTGAGCACTAGGATACAAGCATGCACCACCATGCTTGGCCTCAAGGTCTGTGGGCCAGGATCTTACCCAGTGTGTCACTGAAAAGTCCCAGACACAAGGACCAGAGTTCCTGGATTCCAGTCATGGCACTTGTTTTGCTTATTGGCAGCTAAGGCAAAATGCACATGTGTTAAGTTTGTTTAAAGAAATAAAACATGAATTAACACAAAAAAAATCAGCATTACTCATTTTTATCAAGGTTTATCATGTTTGAAGGTCATACATTAATAGATTCAGTGTTCAGTGTCTTCTGCTCCATTTTCCTTCATCTCCCTTCTCCTGTTCGCTGGCAGTCAATACTTCTATGCATTGTTCATGGGCCCCTTGTATATAGTGCCTATCTTTGTCTGGAAAAAATGTCTTATCCACAAGGCCAAGCCTACCAGCTCCTCCTCTCTGGTCCCAATTTCTTACCAATTTCTTGTTCATCTTATATAGATAGAGACACTGGGGCTTGAGAGGGTCCAGAGTTGAGTTCTGGAGGCCCAAGAAGACAATCCTTAGGCATCGTAATCTTCCATCATCCTTGGGCACCTCACATCAGATCATAGACACTCGGTTCTTGATGTACACATGATAGGGGTCACTACGTTTGTCCACTTTGCGTGAACGGGTGTATCCCAGGATGAGACTGCCCACAGTGACAGCAAATAGGAACATGACAAAGAGAATATACATATAGGAGTTATCATTACGGCCGGGAAGGCTAGCCCGACGCTCTTCAGTTTGATTGTCTGGTCCCGATCCTGGCCCTGGCCCAGGTCGACAGAGCAAGTGACTGTGAAGGGTGGCATTCAGAGCCTTCAGCACAGCATGGAGGCTCTTGTACCAGGTCTCAGTCCCGTTGGAAGTCTCCATAGTAACAGACATTGAGGTACAGGAGGAACTGGAATGTGATCTGATGGTGAGAGAGAAAGGTTCTGTTACCTGCAGCTTGAATGACTTCCACACTTTGCAGACCTAGGTTAGAGCCCCAATACCATGACTCTTCTCTGCCCTCCTTTGCTGGTCTGTCTAGACTAGGCCTCAGCCTCAGTGATGGGATGGGCTATGTCTGCTTTCCTCCCTGCTGTACATTAGCACTCAGAAAAGCATCCCACAGATTGTGTGGAATGGAGCCTTTCCTGACCATTGAAAGCCATATTACCCTCTCTTTTCCTTGGACTGTATGAACCGACTAGACTAGGCAGCAAGAACCTTAGAGGTTATTTAATCAAATTCCTTCCATTTTATGCACAGGGAAATGGAGGTCCCCAAACAATTAAGTAACCTATTCATGATCAGGGAGTGGTAAACAGTACCTATTTTCAGGACTCCTTAATAGGCCAAATACCCACAATCCAATGGCTGATTCTAAAGTTCTCTTTCATCTAAGCATAACTGTCAGCAAACATTAATATTACCTATACGTACCAAACATGATTATTACCTACCAGGTCTCTCCTTAGAAAAATAGTTCTGACCATGATAAATACTCGTGACAGCTCTATGAAGAATTAGAGGGGCAGGATCTAAATAACGGTAGCATCCTACTGCCTGCCACCCAGGACTGGCCTACATTCCATAAAAGGCCTTTGAGGTTCTCTGCCATCTAGTACTTGTGCTCTTTTCTGGATGAAGGAAGGAGAAGAACATAGACTTCCTGAATTAAGATGTAAGAGGCAAGAAAACTGAGTTTTCCTCCACACAGACCAGTGGCAAGCAGGAACACCACAGTGAAATTAATGATTCAATGAGTTACTCAGTCAATCATTTTCCTGGACTAGAGTCTCTGCTAGGGCCTTGAGAAAGCTCAAACCCCGTCCTCACCCTCAAGGCCAGCCCAATATGATGCAGGTAACAACCCAGGAGCTACATAAAAGAGTTACTTAAAATGATTAACACTTCTCAGGGCTAAGAGAAGGCAAGGGCTCGAAAGAGATGAACAAAGGTACATCAACAAGACAGTACATAAAACATCTAGAAGAATGGAAGGTCACATACAGAGGTTAGAACAGAAGATGGACAGAAGGAGAAAACAGGATGTGGGATAGAAGAAACAAATGGGGCCAAGCCATAGGGGACTGGAGTGCCATTCTGTATGTTGGAGCTTGATCCTGAAGTTGGCTTTAAAGACACCATTGCATTGTAAGAGGGTAAACTGGGCAGATTTGTGCTTCCAAATAATTGTGTGGCTGCTATGTGGCCTGGCAGGGGTGAGAGTTGAGGCAGGCCAGTGACATGGGTCTTAAGATGCCTGGAAACAGGCTGTTGAGTCCTGGCCCAGGGTAGAAGGCATGCCAGAGTGGAAACAGGGACAGATGTGAGACATGATAGGGATTTGGGGGAGAGGATGACTAACATGAAGCTGGAGGAAAAGCCCCAGACATATTTACAGACAGACACAGACAATCAGCATGGATCTAGATAAGCCCACTCAGAGGGAAGTTAGTTTCCGACAGGCATGACTTCCTTATATATCAAAAAAAGATCATCGGTGAAAATTGTTGAACAGTGAGTATAAAGTTTCTGTTGCAGGATGCAAAGTTCTAAGATTTATGCCACGGCAGTGTGAAGACAGGTAACACTTCTTAGTTATGCACTGATAGGGTTAGAGAGCACATTTGGAGTTATTCCTTTTTAACTATAACTAGTAAGGCTATTATGCTTCCCAAGCTTGCTGTAAATATGCACTCTCCCACTGCATGGAAGAACATTAATATGCTTTCCATTTTGAGAAGCAAATTCATTCAGTTTTTGAAGCCCAAAGCTTCCATACGGCAGGGGTGAAATCTCCCCGTTGCTGGTCAGTTTTCTTGGGTATCCCTCATTGGAAGGGGGTTTGACTGGTGGGGCACAGGGAAGGCATCATGGATCTGGAGAACTCACCAAACAGTACAGAAACCCTGCTGGCTCTGAGACATCTCTGAGAATCTCCTTGTGGAGATTCTCCCCAGTTCCTTGGCCTCTCTGGATACAGCCAGAGTCTTGGTGTTGACAGGAAAGCCAAGAGCTAGAGATTGGGGAGGAGGCAGAAAAGAAGGAAAAAAAAAGGAACCAGACACACAAACCTCAGGACCAAGGGTGGACTACCTAAGGTCAGTTCCTAAGGGTTGTGCAATCATCTTTCTGTAGGTTCTGACCCCACCCTTATTCCTCTCCCATTCCTGCAACAGCTGGCCTAGGCCTGCCTACAGTTGTCTCTACAGGAACTATGTGGTAACCAACTTCTGATTGTTGTCTCCCAATCCCAGGTTCACAGCATCTTAACTGGGTGGCTTGGTGGGAAGCCTCTGTTTAACCTGTGGACTAGCCAATGGCATAACCTAAAATCTCCTTTGCCAGGGTGCTGGCACCTTAGAAGATTATTTTTGGAACCCAAGAGAGTGAGCTGAGTGGTGAAATGCCAGTCTGCAGTTTCATAGAAATAAATAGAGCATCCCTAATCAAATCCATAGTGTATGGATGTGTTCCAGTGGGACATCCATCATGATGGCTCGGTGAGTAAAGGTACCTGTTGCCAACTCTGATGGCCTGAGCTTGATCCTGGAATCTACACAGTGGAAAGAGAGAACCAACTACTAAAAGTTGTCCTCTGACCTCCACGTGCACAACCCCCCTCATAAATGTCATAAAATAATTAAAATGAACATGTCCTTACAGAGCACTTTGTAAAGCATGGCTGTAAATTCTATAGATGGTGGTTTGTGTAGTTTAGGAGTTGGAAGGGCCTTCAGAGTTCATTAAGGCTAAATGTCCTCATTCTACAGTAAAGGAAATGGAAGCCCAGGCAGCTGTCTTGGTCCAGCTGCTACTTGTGTGACTTTAGGCATGTGATTTCCTTTTTTTTTTTTTTTTTTCCTCTCAACTTCTATGTGCGTCTGTAAAATGAAGGGGTCACAGTCAGCTCAAACATCCTGTGACAGTATGAATAACAGAGCCATATTGTGAGATATTGAGAGATTGGATTGGCTAGTGGAGGCAGCCTTCAGGAGCCTTCTAGAGGCCTTCAAAGCCCAAGGTAGAGAAGGCTACAGAGTCTTCCTGGCAGGTTAAGATATTCCTGATCTCTGGATTGACTTATACCTGACATTCCAGCCTAGATAAACTGAGGACCAACTAGCATCTTACCTGCCTGGGTGGCTGGTCCCGGGGGAAGAGACAGTTTGTGTGGGACATGGGAGTAAGAAGCAAGTGAAGGACAGTGTGAAGTGGAGAGTCAAACAACCTCTCACCCATCAGACCCTCTAGTCAGAGCCTCTCTGGACATTTGGAGCTCTGACTGGAGGAACAAAGAGGGCATATTACATACTCTTAAGTGCTGGGCTTGGGTGGGAGTAAGCCGCTAAGTACTGAGCATGCTTTTGGGGTTAGGAGAAGCAGAGAGCTGAAGAAGGGGCAGACTGGCTCCCTAGGACCACTTCTGGCTTCCATCTCCTGGAGAGTCACTGATTAACAAGCTCCCAGGATGAGTTCCTGACTCAGAGAGGCCTTTGCTTGAAGAAGGCAATGGGCTGGCTTGGAATGAAGACTAACAGCTATTGAGCAAGCTGAAAAAAAATCTAACAGTTGTCAAACTCCTATGGATGTGTCCCTGCCACTGGCTCCGTCTCCCAATGGCCCTCCCAGTGCCCGTGACAGTAAGCTCCAGGCCATGAATTTAGCAGATATTTCTTGTGCTTCATTCATTCATTCATCCTTTCTCAAGACAACTCCCCTCCCCCACTCAATAACTAGCTAGTGTCTCTTCTTGTTTGTCACTGGGGTGTTTTGAAAACAGCCTCATTAGAAAATCATGCTATTCAGCCATTGTGGGTGAGTATACAGGTAGGCCCAGAGCTTTCATGCACATATGCTTGGAGGTTTCAGGACAGGGAACTGGACCTCACGCATTTCTTTATTCTCCAGGCCTGTTTACATAGCAAGCACTAACGGATAAGAGAACAAGTGAATCAATATCTTTTCTATAAGAGAGCCCCAACCCCTTAACTCTTTCCCCAACAGATTCATAGAAACAGCTTCCAATGGTTGAAGAGAAAAAAAAAACATAGTAGGAATAACTCCAAGTTAGATCAAGACAGGTTGCCTTAGGAAAAGGGAGGCTCCTTGATTAGGTGGCATGGGGCAGGGGAGGGAAATTGTGAGCCTCCTTTGGAAGCCTAGACACTTCCTGCATCTGATCCGAACCCATTTATCCAAAGGGCAAACATTCTTGGTCCCCAAATACCAGTAAATGGTTTTGCAACACTCTTCCCTGTGTACCTACGTAAGGTGTGGCCATCCACACCCACAAACTGCACACACACAGTCCCAGCCTATGATCTTGCCTTTCAAGGGAGCCTTTCATGATCCCAGTCCTGGCCTATGTCTGGCTGTGTGACCTTGAACACTGGCTTTATTTCCTCTGAACCACATCTGTAAGATGGAGGCAATCACCCTTGCCCTGCTCACCTCCTGAGAACTGGAAGAGACAATAGGTGAGAAAGTGTTTTAGAAACAGCAAATGTAAGAGAACATTACTGGGAAGGCTGCTCCCATTGTTCCTCTAGTAGTCTCCACACCTCAGTTCACCCCAGTCATCAAGAACAGTCACCCTATGTGCCACTCCCCACCATGGCCCTCCTACCCTCCACAGAAACCACGGGGGGGGGGGGTCTTATTACTCTTTGTGAATCTCAAGTATTAGCCTCCTTTACTGCTTCCTGCCCTTTCTGATGAGCCCTGTCACCCTTGCCATTCAGAAGTGCCCTTCTGCAGTATGAGAATGAGGGGGAGATCTGGGTTTCTGCCCCCTACTGGGCCAGTATGTGTAGCCATGTGTAGACTGGGGGTTCTTGGTCTTGTGTGGCCTCTTTCTTAGAAGACACTTCACACACCCCCACATTACAAAGCTAGAAATGTGCCTTGAGGAGCGTGAAGAGAAGAAAGTTGCTTGTTGATTTTCATCTAAAGGCGTCAACAGACTTTAAAAGCAGTTTTTAACAACTCCAGCACAGCTCCCCTCCATTTGGAATTGACAAGGGTGCTGAGTGCCAGGGAGAATGAGGTTATTCCATAGCTGTAAGTGAAATAGAGGTGAAGAGACTCTAGATAAGGAGCCCAATTTCCTCACATGCAAATGAATGAGGAGTAGGAGGCAGGAATTAGAGTTAAGAGGAACTGCTCCCTGGGCTGAGATCAGAGACCTCCCAAACGTCCCCCTGCGTCCCAGTGTTGTTTGTGTTGGGCAGCTGGAGCAGGGAACCCATTCTACAGGTGGTGTCATAAGAGCCATGGTTGGCAGGTTCACATTACCTGAAAACTAGAAACCAAGACGCCTGACTGCCTTCCAATCTAGACCTGCCACTAGCCCCAAAAGATGCTTTAGGAGTTCCAGACTTTCCCAGGAACTGGTCGCAAAGGGCCAGTCACAGTGGAATAGAATGGGCATGGCAGGTGTGCAGAGCCTGCGGCTTTCTTTGGTCCAGCAAGATTGACTCCTGGAATGTTATTTCCACGAGCGCGCCCTGTAGACCTATAGGTGTTCTCGTGCCTGTCTGTAGGTGTGGAGGAGCTTTTGCTGCCTGGAGGGAATACTGGGAGGACATGTGCGAACCTCCCACGATTTCCAAGAGCAGCTAAGCCTTGGACTCTCTTGTGCTCCCTCTTCTCCCTAGGGAGGATCCACTCGGTATTTTAGCAGCACTCCAAATCGGGCTCTCCCTGTCAAAATACATCCTGGACCCTCACCGGGGAGACGGAAACCCCTGCACTTTTCCAACCCTTTGGGTGTGCCTTACCTGCCTCTGGGATCTGTCTCTGGTGAGCTCTGCAATCGATGATGCCCAGCTGCGTTTCTTGCCCCCACAGCTCTGCACTCCTACTGGCTCTCAGTTCTCTTTTTCCTTCCCAGCGTGTCCCCTCCTCCCCCTCCCCCGGCCCCGCCCTGCCCTAGAACTCCAGCTTCAGCTCTGGCTAGCTTGGGGCGCCTCCGCCCAGCTCCTTGGCCTTACCCGGTGTGGGAAACCGCCTGCTTCCTGGACCTGAGACCGAATTTTTCTCGTTTGTGCCGCTATGTCTCAGCCAACCTAGAAAAAAGCTGATCTCCAGAAACCCAGACCAATCGCTGTGCGTTGGTTGAGTTGGGTGTAGCACCTGTACGGTTGGTTCCATAGCACTGGGCAGCTCCTTACTGGGGCCTTGGCTTCCTCACAATGGGTACCACCGTTCTTGAACATGTTTTTCACAGGCTTATGGTAGGGTCAGACGTGTTCTCAGAATCCAAAATACTAAAACCGGAATAGCCAGGAAAAACATCTGATTTCTAACACAAACCCTTTCTTCTTGCAGATGGCCAAATTGGAGAGGTGCCTTATCTGCACTCACCAAGCAAGTTAGTATCAGAGCTGAGACTCAGAATGCACTACTCTCCAGCAGGTGCCTCCTCTCACAGTCACTCACACTCACATTCCTGACCAACTGTGTCCAGCCACATCTTAACTGGTATCTGCCCCAGATCACGGTTCTCCAACCACTGGGTCCTCGTTCAGCTTGTTTCTGGTGATATTGCAGGCTACGTCCGTAAATCAAGAGAAGCCAAGGGAAGCTGAGAAATAGGGGCCACAAAGCCATAAACAGGAAAATGACAGAACCAGGGATCAGCCTCTCAGGGGCCACTTATTCAAGCTCCTTTTACCAGCAGAGGGCTACACAACACATTCAGATGAGTTCCCACACACCCTTGCAAAGATCTGCTGCAGTATTTCTGAGGCACCTAATGTCAATCACAGAATTTTAGGATATGATTATCTAAAAAGTGCCGGGGGGGGGGGGGCTGCCATGTGGTAGGCATCTTGTGCATAATTTCTAATCTCCTTCAGAACATAATCATTGCTGTGTTGTTTCTGGGCCATACGTTTCTATCCATTCTGCCCTAATCTGGAAACCACCCCACAGAGAAGTCTTCCTGGCCACCTAGGGGTGCCCTCTTAGTCTCCAGTCTACAAACCAAGGGGGTGCTTGTTTCAGTAAAGTAGGCTGCGGGCTCTTCCCCAGAGACACTGATTCAGAAGATCTGGAGCTCAGAACTCAATATTTAAAAAAAAACACAATCCTAAATGATGCCTAAGACTAGCTTTGAAGTACCAGGCATACAGGGGGTGCATAGACATACACACAGGCAAAATACACACACACACACACACACACACCACAAGGGGTAGAAAGATGGTTTGGCAGCTAAGAACACCTGTTGTTCTTGCAAGGGACCCCATTAGGTTCCCAGTGCCCATATGGTATCTCATAGACATCTGTAACCCCAGTTCCAGGGGATCTAATGCTCTCTTTTGACCTCCACAGGTAGCAGGCACACATGTGGTATATAGGCATAGGACAAATAAATCTGAAAAAAGAATGTAAAAGACTAGCCTTGGGTCAACGGCCTTGCTTCAGTCAAAGTCCTCCTCCCTCCCCATTCATGGCATAGGACTGTTGTTATAGCTGTTGAGAGCTGGGCAGTCAGTTAGATTGTTAGTGCTTTTCCGTCCCAACATTTTAGAATCAGAAATTCTGACTCATACCATCTTAGAGTTCTAGAATCGTTTCATTGTAGAACCCAAGCTGGAAGGACTCACAGTTCTCTAGTCCTTCACCTAGTGAACCCTCTTCTGTTTCTTTGTTGGTCAGGGGACTGACTATCCAGCTCCACTTCAGGAAGGGAGCTCATTGCCTCCAAAGCAGGAGTGTGGCTCCAACTCACATCTCAAGCTGCCTCCTGCCCTTTGTCTTTGCACCCACTGGAAGCACGAAAGCCCAATCTTTCATTTAGAGAAGGCAGCTGAACAAGTAGCTGTTGGGAAGGGTCTGAGCTGCCTCATTTCCCCCACTGTGCTGTGCAGGTTTCCTAAGAGGCTAATGTGCACAAGATGCCCAAAGCTTGGCTCTCGGGATGTGTGCAGGAAGGACACTGATCCTAGGATGAGAAAGGGCAGGAGTAGACAGTTTCTACCCCAAGGAGCCTGTGAGAGGAGCTCCTTCATCTGCAGAGGCAGGGTCTTCCATTAAGATGAGAAGTGTGAAGGAGAGAATGGAGACTAGGATGAGCTAACTTTAATATGGAGGAAAGACTCTCCTAGAGATATACTGCCTTTAAGTCTTAGCTTAAATGCTACCTCCTTGTGATGACCTTTCTTAACCGCCCTATTTCCAAATTCAAATCCCTTCCATCTCTTACTCCTTAACACCCTTCTCTGTTGTGCTTGTCAATAGCACTTTCTATCACGTGGTTCTGGGCAGTGAACTCAGGTCAGCAGATTTGGTGATGAGTGACTGTACCTGCTGAGCCATCTCACTGGCCCTGTTGCTATTGTTCTGGTGGCATCCTCATCTGAGGCTCCTTCTCCCCACTGGCTCTCCCCAAACTCTCCCTGAATCTCCATTCCTATAGTCACCCCTTTCTCTTCCTCATCAGGTCTAAGGTTGGCAATGATGCCAAGTGTCTCAAGCCCCAGTATACTCTAACCCTGCTTATGGTTGCCCACTCCCTCAACCATCTCTAATCCTCCATTGCTGGGATTAAAGCTGACTGCTTCTAGTGCTTCTACAGTATTTCCCTTTAACCCAGAACTTTGTATTATCGACTTTATTTGTTGACCCCAACCCTGGGACAAAACTCTTGGAGGATACCAACTCATTCCCAGAACCAAATTGCTCACAGAGTAGATGGTAAGATGAATTTGTTGAGCAAATGAATGAATGAATGAACCAATGAATGAATGATGGTTATGGCCGTGGAAATCACTTGCCATTGTTTTCTCAAGGAAAACTCTCCAAGAAAAGCTAGAGTTGGAGAAAGCCTGGAAGAGCAACAGGGTACTTTTCAACCTTTAGGCTAAATCCTCTTAGCTTCAGATTCCCAGGTCTAACAATTCACTCATCCTTACATGACACAGTCTGGAACTCTGGCTCCCCCTCAATCTCTGTCTCTCAGTAATATTCATGGATCTCAATTCACCTTTTTGTTTAATTACGTGCTGATTTGGGTCTGCCTTCCCCATCTTTTTACCATAGTGTTCCCAGAGAGGCTAGTAAGTGGGAGAGAGGGCTGAAGAGGTAGGGAGAGCATGAATGCGGCCTGTCCACAGCTTAGAAGCTTGGTGCCCAGCCAGGGGGGATTTCTTGATTGCACCAAGTGGACCTGCCTCTAGCTACAGTCAGCCCCCAGTGTCTGTGGAGGACTGGTTCCAGGAACCATGTGAACACTGAAAACCAAGAAATCCTCAACTCTTTTGTATTAGATGGTCTGTGCACATCCTCCTACATACGATAAATCATCTCTAGATAATTGCCAACACATAATACAATATAAACGTTATGTAAAGAGGCTTTGTACTGTATTATTTAGAGAATGTGACAAAAAAGAGTTCGTGTATTGTTGGGACAAATGGGATTTAGCTTAGTGGGGAAAATGCTTTTATAGCATGCACAAAGCCCTGCGTTCATACCCAGCATCATGTAAACTGAACATGGCAGAATACACCTATAATCTTAGCACTGGAAATTTAGGGACAGGAGGACAAGAAGTTTATGGTCATTCTTGCCTATATAGCAAATTTGAGGTCAGACTAGAATACACAAGATCTTGCCTCAAAAAGAAAGGGGGGAGGGAGGGAGAAAGAATACAAAAAAAAAAAAAAATCAGGACACCCCCCTCCCTGAATATTTTCAATCCATGACTCCAACCAACTAGAGGCAGAATAGAGATTAGGTATCTTGGATATCCTAGACCCTGATGCTTGGGGCTGGGAAGGGGTGAACAGTTAATGAAATGATTTGAAGATTAATAACTCTTGACATTTGCCCAGCATTCCACAGGACTCTGTCCATTCTCTGACTACGAATTAGGGCCATGTGTCACATGGTGTCCCAGCAGAAAACAAGTGACACCTGACACTGGGCAGTTTGAAAAGTGTGATGAGGGCTTAGGAAACCAGCGAGGAGCAGAGCAGTACACCTCATTAGCAGCAGCAGGAAGGGAAACCAGCCAGAGAAGGAAAGATGGAGGGGATGGAGAGTTCCAAGAATCTGATGAAGGACAACGGTGGGGAAGGCATCCAGGCTGGAGCTACAACCAACCTTGCTGCAATAAATACAAGTTTCTCTGTCCTTTCTACCACTGCCTCCTGTTGGCTCCACCCAGACGCAGGCTCCCGAGCAAGGAGGCGGGTGCTGGGCAGGGAATACTGGCACCGGAGGGACAAGCAGAAGGATCTAGCATGGGGAAGGACAACAGGCTGGGGCTGGGGGTGAGGGGATGCAGTAGGGGGAGTAAGAGAGCTAAAGCATGTGGGAGGAGGGGCTGAATCACCTCCTGTGTGCGTAGACCACAACAACCTTCAGTTTCAAAAGCACCCATGTGCTGGCCATTCCTCCAGGCCTTTGGCTGTGTTATTCTCTCTGCCTGGACACACTTCCTCTCAGCAAGGTCTGTAAGGATTCAGGCATTATTATAGCCTGCCCCATCACCTGGCAGAATGCACTCAGGCAGTACCCTGGTCAGCCCAGGGTTCCATGGTTTCCTGGCCTGCATGCAGGTGCAAAGGGCCCCTTTGAAAGATCTCTTTTGCTCTTTGCTTTCTTTGCTCCCTGCTCTTCTCCTCACCACCCCCCTCTCTCCTCTTCTCTTCTGTTCCTGGTGTCTCCACGTCTCTTTTCCCTTTCCCCTCATTCCCCCTTCTAAATAAACTTCTCACTCAAGTTCTGTCTGCCTGGCCTGTTATTCCCTCCATCTCTGTCACCCTCGCCTGCTATGGAACCTGCTATGCTCTCCCACGCGGTCCCTAATTTTGGGACCCCCACGCG